CTTAAAAGGTTTTTTTTAAGAAAATCGTTTTTATAACTGTCCGGAGAAAATCTTTTGGTACGAAAATTAAATACAATTTTTGATACATTTTCTAAACATGCTGGATAAAAGTAAACCTACAGTAAAATTATTTAATATGGGTTGTGATGAATGACCGAACTCTATACGAAAATTCTTAATGTTTCTCCCAAATATTCGACTAGTGAAAATTACATATTAGTTTACAAGCAAGTAAATTGAATATATTACAATTAATTAATTTTAAATTTTGTATAGCTCTTTCAAAATTCACCTATATAAAATAGCGTTTTTAAACGAAGTCCAACGAATTACTTCTACGTCATGCTCAAATTCTTATAAAAAGCTGTTAACAGTTTATTGTTACCAAATCATAAATAAAATAATTGTAATTCTATGTAGTCAATCATTAACTAAAATTTACTTCTTTTCATTGTTTATGTGAAAAATTATATGCATGTCATATCATGCATTTAAAAAAAAATTTTCAATTTCAAAAAATATTTTTAAAAACCTTGGTAAAATCCACTTAAAGATGAGAGCTTTTAATTTTGCATCAAAGCTATCATCCGATTTAACATATATTTCGACTACTCATGTTCGATGACAACAAATAATTTAAACTTATATTGCATATTTTAAAATATATTAAAATCCAGTTATGCCTAAAGATTACAGTTGATGTGCGCAATAGTTAAAAAATTTAAGGTAAAGCCTTATTTTTTTTTGCTCGAAAAAGTGTGAATTCAATATATATTCAATGTTTCACTTCGTCCATTTATATTTAATACATTCTATATATTAACCGCAAATTTCAAAGTCTCTACCTTACATGAAAATGATGTAAAGTTATATGACTTACGATGTAAGATTTTGACATATCCTGAACAAAATATAATCTGATATAAAAAGCATAAATTGTTCTAAAAATTATTTATTTTTCTTGTGTGATTATTAAATTATAAGATATTTAAATGAACAATATTATAAATAACATACCAAAGTACCGACGGAGTTTCAGTCTCATCATTTCTTTGTTTATAATTATTATTTTCTACAGCTTTTAATGGTAATAATTCTTTAATACGTTTCATTAGGCTATCTTGTTTTGACATTTTGCTATTCTGAGAATTCGTACTTTTCTTTTCTGGTTTCTTATTACAATTATTTTGCTCTTCACACACATTATCTATATTTACAAGATTTGGAATTAAATCAGTCATTTTAACATCTATCAACCAATCTAGGTTAGATAAAGATTTGACACCAGGACTATTGGTCTCCAGTTCAATGGTTTTGGGCTTTGGTGACAGTTCTTCACTTTTTTCTTTTTTTATTCTTTTTCTGGGCGGGCTCCAATTGTTTATGGAGTCTTTCTCTGGAGATTTTTCTTCGTCGAAATTGATATATTTTGACGAACAAACTTCTTCTAAGAACTGGGTCGTGGTATAATCACTGTTTGATGTATCCAACATTCTTTTCAATGACATTTCCAAAGGCACCATTCTTCATTGAGGCACTACTAATTTAATCTTTTTTCGAAAACATTGTAATATAACTGAACACATCAATTTAACACTCTTACGAATATAACACTGACAAATGAGAAATTTGGAAACAAAGGAAAATCGAAATTTAATTTTCTTTTAAGAAACGTCACAAGTAACATTGCACAATTCGAAATGTCATTACGGTAAATTTATAGTGAAATTTTCAACAAAAAAAATTGAAATGTATATCAGGTGATATTGGAATCATAACAATAACTATTCAAAGTTATCCGAACTATGGAACGAAAAACGTTCTTCATGATAAGCGCGTGCGCCCTTGTAGCAGTTCTCTACTTCCACTACATCACCTGCGATTGTTGCCACGGTTGAGGGATGGAACGATGGAACTTACCACCTGACAGCCAAACCAGGGTCTGTGGTAGATCAATTTACTTATTATATTGTCCGTATTCATTTCATGATCGATGATTTCATATCGATTGATAATAAATTTCAAGCCATATTGAAAATTAAGAAATAAAAATTTCTATTTGAAATTAGGACCATCTTGATCAATTGACATCTGGGTCAATCAAATTTGGTTTTGAACACATAATGGAATTGGAATGATATTCAATGTTTAAAACATTTGATAAAATGATTTTGTATATTTTGATCACTTTTGCAAAGTAATATTCACTATCACGCACTAAAATAGTCATTTTGATTACAAACTTGATTTCTCTGTTATAGAACTGAAATTATGTCATATAAATTTATACAATATTTATTTCTTGCCAAGTTTGCAACTTCAAGGAAAAATAAACAATGATTACAGATTATATTCATATAATTAAATTTTGTGATAGCCTGTTATCAGAAAAAAATTGGTTGTGATATATAACAATAATCATTGTTATATATCGATATATACTTCGATAAAAGAAGAGTATATATAAATAATAAATAGATATATAAATAAGTAAAGGAAAAGAAACGGAAATTAGTTGATAATTATCTATTGGGGAATAATAAGTTTTATAATAAGGATTATAATACTATAACTCGTGATAGATATATCTCGTGATAGATATATATAGTTTCCTTGTATTTTACCTTTTATCACAGAGAAATAACAAAAATACAGTTTGGTTCAAATCATTGAACATATTATATTCAATATATCATGAATAATATCGATAAATCGAAAGTGATGAGAGTATCAAAACGAGATGATCCTCTGAAGATAATAGTAGGAAATCGAGAATTGGAAGACGTTGATCATATCAATTATTTAGGAAGCATTTTCACCAAAGACAGATACAAGAGAGATCAGGACAAGCAAACTTAATCTCGAAAATTGCGGAAGAGAGTGTCATGTCTGGAGCATACCTCTGTACGGATCAGAGACATGGACTCTGAGAAAAGCCATTAAGAACTATCTGCATAGTTTTGAATTGTGTTGCTGGAGCCGAATGGAGAAGATAAAGTAGACCGCCATGATAACAAATGAAGAAGTCCTAAGAAGACTGGACGAAAAAAAGACTCTACTGAGCACAATTCTGAAAAGAAAAGGAAACTGGATCGAACCCATTCTGCAAAAAGAGTGCTTTTTGCGCGACGTCGTCGAAGTCAAAATAGAAGGACTGAATGGATTAGGAAGAAGAAGAATGCAGATGATTGACGACTTACGCGAGAAGAGGAAATACAGAGAACTGAAAGGCGAAGTACAGGACAAGGAAACACGGCAGCAGAAATTTGGAAAGAAAAATTCATAAAAACGAATATAAAGTGATAAATGTTTATTAATAATATGGTAATAAAATGGCAATGAAAATAATAAACAAGAGAGGGGAGGAAAATTATTGATTTTGTGGTGCTCTCATACCATGTACCTGCTTTCGGGCAGACTACTATTTATTATTATTATTATATCATGAATTGATTATATTCTCATATTGTCTTGGATTTAACATTTTTTACACTTTTAGCTCCTTATCTCTGAAACGGCTGGCCCTTCTTTGTAAAAACTAATCACCACGTTTTCTCATCATTTCAAATTGAATGTTTTTTAAATCATTCAAATCGGATTCTCCGTACTCTCAAAAACTTAATATCTATTTTCTGCAATCTTTGCTTCCTATCTCCTAAACGGCTTGACCGACTTTTGCCAACAACTAATTAGCACGTTTTCTTATTAATAGGAGTTAAACGCTTTTTGAATATTTCAAATCGGTTGATCCGTACTCCGAAAAGGTAGACAAAAAATTGCATCCATACATACGCGCACACATTCATCAATTTTTTCTAAGGTATGCTAAAATGTTCGAGAATTTTTATTTTCGATTTTTTGAAGATTACAATACCTTTTACCCAATGGAAAATTAAAAACAAGTAAAATAGATTTATTAAATTCAATGTTTATTACACTATCATTGACTTACACCTTTGAATATAAATGCTATAGAAATAACTGCAGTAACTTTCACTACAACGTAATTTCTAAATATTGTAGTTAGTGACTATGTTAATAATGCAAGATGTTATGTTAATAACAATTTGAGCAAATTCCAAAAAATTCTATTAATGTCGGTGAAATAGTTTCACGTGGGATGTCCTACTTTTGATGAAAGAAAATCATATTTCAGACATTTTTTATTAATAATATGTTATATTTAAAAAAATATATGTTCTTGACTTTTTCAATAGAAGTATATGCTGTTTGTAACATTGATATGTTAGTCTTTTCTTAACTTGTACGAAACTAAATAAATATTTTCAAACCATGTTCATAAAAAAAGGAAAAATTTTCGATTCTGAATACACAGAAACTATAATAATTCTTCATTTTTATTGTTTTTTCCTGGCAATTTGAAATTACTTGTGATTCTGTATTTTCACATATATGTGATTTAATTTTATTATCTAATTACAATTATTATTATAATTTATTATTATTAATTATTATTATTATTATTCTAATTTTTTTTTCACAGTAATGACTAATTTATGAAAAATTTGTTGATTTGTATGCTTTGTATAATTCATTAATAATAATATATTGAATTACAATTAAAATAAAACTGTGCCATGAATATTATCGATATCGTACAATGACAAAATAACAAATATTGATATTATGAATTTTCTCTTGTAAACATTATATTTGATTGTCGGTAATAAGTACAATTTTTTAATATTATTTTTATAAGAAGACATTGCATTCAGATCTGAAATTTATTAATTACTTGAGGCTAAGTAATTAATGCGAAGAACAATATACATGGTTTTAACAATATTTATACATGGTTTATGCCATGCAGTATATGTCCACAAAAATACTCGTTTTAAATAAAATTTATTATGCCAGCGAAATTAAATTCATCAGTGTGGACGCACCCATACAAGGTGAACTTGCTACAGAATATTTTATATGTGCTGGCAACACTAATTTGTGTTAATATAACCAACTTCATGTGCTTGCATCTCGTAGTTTCGCTTTGTGCTTGTTGCGCATTCGGCATCGTCTAGTAACTCGGTGTTTGGAGGTTAACGAAGGTTAGTGGTGTATTGCAATTCGAGCCGCACGTATTGCGTCGTTATATAGTTTTTGTGAATTAAAATAGTGTTAAGCTATTCAAAATGGCTGATTATCACAAACCAGAAGCTAAAACTCTTCAAGAGTTGCGCGACATAGCGCACAAATTGCGTATTCACTCCATCAGAATGACCGAAGCCTCCAAATCCGGGCATCCCACATCATGCTCTTCAATGGCTGAGATAATATCTGTGCTCTTCTTCAATACTATGAGGTATACTATCAGCTTTCCTAGACATCCATCTAGTGACAGATTTGTTTTATCTAAGGGCCATGCGGCGCCTATTTTATACGCGGCTTGGGCTGAAGCCGGCTTGTTTCCAACAGATGAATTGTTAAAATTGCGCAAAATCGATTCAGATTTGGAAGGGCATCCTACCCCAAGATTGAATTTCATTGATGTCGGAACTGGTTCCCTCGGCCAAGGTGTTGCTGTCGGAGCGGGTATGGCATATGTAGGAAAAAATTTTGATAAAGCTAGTTATCGAGTATACTGCCTAGTGGGCGATGGCGAATCAGCTGAAGGATCTGTGTGGGAGTCTTTGCACTTTGCTAGTTATTACAAGCTTGATAACTTTTGTGTGATATTTGATGTCAATCGACTTGGCCAATCAGAAGCTACATCTCTGCAGCACAAAATGGAAGTATACCGTCTACGATTAGAAGGCTTTGGCTTCAATGCCATAGTTGTTGATGGGCATGATGTCGAACAACTGTGTAAAGCCTTTCATGAAGCTAAGTGTACAAAAGACAAACCGACAGCCTTGATTGCTAAAACATTTAAAGGTAAATTCTTCCCAGAAATTGAAGACTCTGATAAGTGGCATGGTAAACCATTAGGAGCTAAGGCTGAAGGTGTTATTAAACATTTACAAGGCCAAATCTTCAATGCTGGCCCACACACTTTGAGCCCTCAGCCTATCGTTGATGACGCACCTAAAGTAGACATCACAAATATAAAGTTATCTAAACCACCTGAATATAAGCTGGGTGAGAGTGTTGCAACCCGTCTGGCTTATGGTGTGGCTTTAGCCAAAATTGGTGCAAACAATAGTCGTGTGATAGCTTTAGATGGAGATACCAAAAATTCTACTTTCTCCGACAAGCTTAAAGAAGCTTATCCTGATCGTTATATTGAATGCTTTATAGCCGAACAAAATCTTTGTGGTGTTTCAATTGGTACAGCTTGTCGTGACCGATGTGTAGCATTTGCTTCAACATTTGCAACATTTTTCACTCGGGCATTTGATCAGATTCGCATGGGGGCCATATCACAAACAAATGTCAATTTTGTCGGATCTCACTGTGGTGTAAGTATTGGTGAGGACGGACCTAGCCAAATGGGTTTAGAAGATATTGCTATGTTCCGTACTATTCCAGGCAGTACTGTATTTTATCCAAGTGATGCCGTTAGTTGCGAAAGAGCTGTGGAGTTAGCTGCTAATACTAAAGGAGTATGTTTCATACGTACTTCTCGACCAGCAACTGAAATTTTATATGCAAATGATGAACCATTCATTATTGGAAAAGCTAAGATTGTTAAGCAATCAAATGATGACGAGGTTTTAATTATTGGTGCTGGTGTATCTTTGTATGAAGGTTTGGCAGCTGCTAATACATTAGCTTCCGAAGGAATCAATTGCCGTCTTTTAGATCCATTCACTGTTAAACCAATTGATCAAGTAGCTATCGTCCAAAATGCAAAGGCTTGCAAAGGCAGGGTAGTGGTTGTAGAGGACCATTATCAACAAGGAGGCTTGGGAGAAGCTGTATTGTCAGCTCTGGCACTGGAAAGAAACATTGTGGTGAAGCATTTGTTTGTACCAAATGTTCCAAGATCTGGACCTCCAAAAGTGCTCTTAGATATGTTTGGAATTTCAGCTAAACATGTAGTTGCTGCAGTGCACAGTATCTTGAAAGCATAAATTTTTTTAATGCAGGTCATCAAAGCAAAATTAAGTTATCAGTAATCAATCAAGTTTGTGATAAGCTTTTTATAAAATTAGAATATAATCACATAGTTTGTAATATTATATTACATTTCCAAAATGTTAATTCGAATCTATTATAGTTATATATTTTTATATTGTTTTCCTGAGAATTTATTAGACTGGATATAAATTTGTTAAGTATTGAAAATAACCATTATATTGTAGTTGTTTTGAAGGCATTTAGTGAGTTATATTGTGAAAGTTAGTTAATAAAAAAATACAATTTTATACTTTGTTGTTTCTATTAAGTAATAACAAAACTAATATATATTTTTCAGTGCAGTTTATGATAATTTGATCATAACATTTTCATTTAAATCCAAAAATGAAACAATATTAAAAAAAAGCAAGCAGAAAATTCATTGTATTTGAAATACACAAAAGTTTCGTTAGTACATTATAGACTATAAATTAGTGGAAATACCTGTTTCAAATATTTAACTTCCTAAAATTTGTGATAATTTAGAGTGTTCAAGCAATAATCACAATTGTTTCATTATTTCATTATATAATATAAACCTCGAGTTTAAAGTTACAAACAAAAATTGATTCACTGCAGTGTCTGAACATATTAGTTTGAAATTATTTAATTTTATTTGTAAAAAAATTTTTCTTGATCGTTACAAAATCTTCAATTTTTAAATGCTTCATATGGCTTCATTAAACTTTAATCACTTTATAAAAATTTTTAAAGTTTATTAAAATTTTAATTAATATTAATTTTTAATGAGTTATTAAAATTTCTAATTTATAGGTTCCACAATTAATATGTATACATGTTATTATTTCAGACTGCGCTTTTAATTTGTTTAAAATTTAATCCATTAACATCAGCTGTTATATATTAATCATCAGTCTATTTTGTATGCATGGAAAATTGGCTTATCATACAAAAAATTAATCTTTATTAAAGATTTTTTTTAATTACATATTAAAAATCATGTTGCGAGGAAGAAGCTGGTTGATATGGAATTTTATAATATATACTTCTAGATTTTTAATTAAATTGACGCTATATATGCATGTGTATACATATAGGATATATATAGGACCACCCTAGGTCCTTAAAATGGTTATTTTCGAATTTCCTTGCTCCCACGGGCTCAAATGGTTCCAAATAGATAAACAATTCTCTGAAAGTTTTAGTTCTTAATATTAACGTTTAGATAGAGCGCAATTCAATCAAAATTTTGTATGGAAACAGCATGGAAAAATTTTCAAAAATTTTAAAAATCTTTTTTAATCTTTTTTAATCTTTTTCTTTAGATGCAATTTAGCGAACAAATAAATGAATAAAACTCATTCATTTGTCGCTGAGTTATACCTAAAACATTTTTTTTAAATTTTCAAATTTTTTTCCATGCTCTTTCCATACAAACTTTGATTGAATTGCGCTCTATCTAAACGTTAATATTAAGAGCTAAAACTTTCAGAGAATTGTTTGTTATCAATTTGGAACCATTTGAGCCCCTGGGAGCAAGGAAATTCGAAAATATGACCATTTTAAGGACCACCCTAATATATATATATATATATATATAATTGGTAATTATTATAATATTTATGGTTAACTTATTAATAGTAAAGTTTCAATATTAATTAAATAAAGTTTGCTAAATTATTTTTTTTAAAAAGAATTTGCAAAATCCTTTGTTGTATCTACTGATTTATTAATGCTTGCAATTTCGGCACATTGAAATTCAATTGTACAAATGAATTCATTTATTGTGAAAGGAATTACGTAAAATATATTAATCAGTTATACGGTTGAGAATTAATTGCATGACGTGAGATAAGAAATAAATGCTATTGACCCGCGTATACAGTTACTATGAAGCTGACAAATCAAATGCAAGATTAAATATAAACCAGATCACAAAACTGTAACAATTTTTTATATCGCATAACAATGTGTTTGGAATCAGAATGCCCTAAAACAAATTCATAAGAATGTTTTTTTTAAGTGTGTGTATTGAAATAATAATATTTCAAATAATGTCTTAATTTCTGGCAAAAGCTAACATTTTTTTTGTTTTGTGTCTTTAAGCAATTTGCTGAATGTTTTCAATAATATCCGTAAAAAGTTCGAAAATTATTAAAAAAATTTAAATTTTTGACTTTCTTACTTATTATAATAAGCGATAACATTAGAAAATGTGATCTCTTATAATTGCTTAAATTTTGATAAACTAACAAACAACATGCGACAAACTTAAAGCAGTTTAAACAGTAAATTACCAAAGACTCTTGGATACTAAGAGATAAACTTAGAGGTCAAGTTTAGATTTTTAAAAAAGTTTATTATAAAATGTGTAGATTACACTGTCACTTATTATGTAAGTTTATCGACCTGTTACACCACGGACATTTTTGAATTTGAATAACAGTTTTCCGTATTCAATCATTAATATTTTTAAAATTGTTTATTATTATTAATAATAATTATTGATATCTATGATTTTAAATTTAATCAACCTAAATACAATAATTTTACAGTAAAATCCGCTTAGTATGACGGTATTGACCGACCGCTTATATTGACGTTCTATGAAGTTTGGTTTTCATATAAAATTCCCTAGAAAAACCGCCGGATATATTGACTTCGCTTACTTTGACATGTCGCTTATAATGACCCATTTTTTTAAAAAAAATATGTCCAGCTGTTATGACCGCCATGATTTTACATGTTACTATTCGAGTCTACGAAAGCAATTTCTATGTTTTTTGCACAAAATAGCACAGGGAGTGTTTTTACAATAAAATGAAGTGAAGGAATCAAACAAAAATTACTGATTACTTACATTAAAAATTGCATTTGTATGACCACCACAGATATCTCAAAAATAAATAAAATTAGATTTTTTTAACAACTATATTTGATAGTAGAGGGCAAAAGATGTATGCAGCCTTTATTCTTACGACTTCGCTATCAGAAGATAAGCGACACATAGGTGGGATTGAAAGGACCAACTGAACCTTTACTCTGGGCAAAGGTGTAAACAATAAAAAAGTAAATTAAGTTTAAAAAAGTAATTCTACGAGAGATAAATTAAATAAATTGTTATTCCGACTCTCCTGATCTCCTGATATTTCTGATAAAATACTAGATCAATGTAATATACTGTGATATCTTTGGTATCTTTGTAAAAAAATTACCCATAAAATTGATATCTTGCATTACTTGAATAATGCAGCTATTATTTCGTTAAATCCCTTTAAAATTCAATAGAAGACATTGAATCTGTTTGCCCCGGTTGTCCCATTTTATCTCCTATGGGGTAACAAGGGTCAGATAAATTCTAGAAAAATAGTAAGAAAAAGCATATTGCTATAATTAGGAATTACGTGAAAATTTCCCTGAATATAGTTCGATAGTTGTGATGTAGTTCATTTGGTATAGATAGTATAATTACTGAAAGACGAATTGGACCTTTGTGGCAAGAAGCACAAAAGCGTTATATTTTATTTACTGATTCTATTTCAATACCTGATCATACAAATCTGATGCAAGTATTTTATGTTTTTTATGCTTTGAAGCAGTTTGGCACAGAAAATAGAAAAAGAATGTCGCTTCAAGTCATTATGATGTTAAAATTTTGAAGAAAAAGATTAAATTTTACTCTAATGATTTTTCTGTTTGATCATATGATTGAACACAAAAGAGGTCACAGTTGACTTGATCCTAATTGCTCTAGTTGATTAAAACATAATTATGATGATACATTTCATAATCCCCAATAACTCATTCAGTGTGCAACCGTACAATCATCAAATAAAAGATTTATTTTATTATCTTTACAATTTGGAATATTATTTTGATTATCGGACTCGACTTCTCTTCTTGCATCACGAAATTTTTAATTAAAATCTTGCTGGTGAAAATATTACAACAGTATCACTTTCCGCACACGTGAAATTGATATAAGTAATATCATGGCAGACGATACTTTTAAATGAGAAAACCGATAACGCAATTTATTTATAACTTTCACAGATTAAGGAATACTCAATTTAATATGTATATAAGCACGTATGATAGTAGTAGGTCGAATGATAATAATAATTTTTTTTAAATTGTATATAAAAACGTAAATTTTGTACCCAGAAATTAGGCACAAGGCTGTATGTACACCTTAATTAAATGTCTAGATTAACAAGAATTTTTTTTAATAATTTGGCAAAATTAAATATTTAATTTATTCTTATTAAATCGTGCTTTTGATTGAATCTATTTATAATATTCTATTTGAAAACGTTTAAAAATTTTCGAGTATTTCATTTCGCTACATGAAGTTCTAGCAATTTGCCTTAAGGCACGATGTCCTGAACCTCTAGTTTATTTTTTAATTGATAGTTATAAAAAGTTGGCTTAACTGATCTTTGCACAAAAATTCATTGGCCCTTCTAAGTAAAATCTACCTTATAATTTGTGAATTTTAATATAAGGACAAGTTTTAGACTCGTTTGATATGTTATATTGAATTATAGTAATTCATTATTGCAATTTACCATTGTAATGCATCCATCGACAAAAAGAAATAAAGAAAACGAGGATATAAAATTTACTATGTATTATTTAATTTAGTATGTATTATTAAAATAAAAAAGAATTATCATTTTAGTTTTTTCATGCATTAGCTCGTTTAACCGTTATCAAATCGCATTTAACAATGTTTTTAACTAAATTATAATTTAGTAAATCTTATCTTAATTACATTCATTATTTTCGATAGCTGATAAAAGCTGTTGATATATTCATTAATTGTTTAATGGTTAATAAGTGCATTTTCATAATGTTCATATAAAACAATATGGTATTCAATCTGGATTTTGATATTCATTAATTATTATATATCAATTGTAAAGTAATCGATCAAAAATTAGATCCCCCACTAAACAAATCATTTCACATCAATTTTAAAAATAGTCGCCATTTTTTAAAAAAGTGATAAATTTTCAAAGTGTAAATTTGTTTAAAAAAAAATATTCTGAATATAAATAATTTAATGCATTTTGCAATAAAAAAGTATTTGCATTAGAATATAATGTTAAAGCACACACATACTTATATACTACATCTATAAAAAAATCTTACAAAGTCTCCATAAATTCGTTTACTGATAACATTTTAATTATAATGTGTATGAAATTATAAACTTAATAGAAAATATAATTAATTTTTTTGAATAGAATTATAATTATATACATATTAATATATGCCCACCAAAAATATATACAATTATAACACATATATGAGCAATATATGTGTAGTAATCACAAATACACACACACACACATATATATATATATATATATATATATATATATATATATAAAATTCATACTTCATATATAGTATGCATTAGAATCCATAAAATTTACAAGTTCACACTCTGACATATTTTAAAATCCGTTAACATTTGTGCTTGAAATAATTGAGCTGTCATCAAAAGTACGAGAGTGTGACAATGAAAAATTAAACGGCATTTCCTTAAGAAAATCACATCAGTCTGCATTCAGTCCACGATGAATTTTGTCAGTGCCAGAGAATTATTTATTATTGTTTTGTGTTTTCATATGACCCAGCAAGACTGGGTCGAGATACCTCAAAATACCAGTTCCAAGAATAAGAGTTCGGTTAGGACTTCGCCTAAAATTACAACTATCATCAGATATGAAACTAATATGACTAGAGCCAAGCCGAGAATCAAAATACGAACAGAAAAAACTATGATCGAAGTTTTGACTTCAACTACAACTACGACGACTCCAAAACCAGTATCAACTACTACGACTTTAGCTCCCTTAAAAAATGTGACCGAAAAAACAAAGACCAAGGAGGTCAAATCTGATTTTTCTGAAAATGTGAAACCTGTCGATTATGATGAAGATATAGAGGAGGAAGATGAATCTGTTGAAAATTCTGAAGAGAACGATGTTGACGAGGAAAATGATGACTTGGATTTGATTGGAAATGAGGTTACTTCAAACGAATTTTCTGTGAGTGGATTGATACCTTATATAAAACAGCTTCAGGAAAAAGTTATGAAACACTTGCCTAATGGGATTTCAAATAAAATTCGAATGCTGGAAACATTTAGAGATAATTTGTTCCATAATATAGGTAAGGAGTTGAGTTTTAAGTTATACGAAATATTACATGTCAATTTTTTATTAAAATTAAAGAGCATAATTTATTTAAATTATTTAAATACGACTAAAAAGGTGCACTTTTCGGAAAAAATATAGGCATCATATAAATTGGTATTTAAATTATTTTCTTTAGTAGGTATTATCCAAGTAATTTTGTTAACCTGTTCATGTCGAACAGTTGTTCATTTAACTTCATTTAATTTCAATTGATTCTTATTAATAATATTTTTTGCATATTAGATTTAATTTTTATTGTTGTTCATTTAATTACTTTTTTTTTCAATTGATCCTTATTAATAATGTTTTGCACGTATTAGATTTAATTAATATTATTTATTTAAATCTTATTTTATTTATTTATTTCTAAACATAGACATGATTTCTTATAATAGATTTCAGTCGTAGCGATTATTTATTTGAATTTAATTATAATTTAATCTATAATCTATAGACTTTATTAAAACGATTTTGTTACATTATTTTTAATATAAACTATCAAGGCAGAAAAAAAATTAGTGTCTGAAAAAATTAGTGTCATTTATCTAAAATGTAATTTTCTGTAGTATATAGTGAAATTTTCCCAATGATAAATTTTTTTGACACATTTTTTAAATTTTTATACAAATTTGTACTTTTCAAAATACGTTCCTCTTTGATATAAATTATTACAGTCATTGTTTGAACAATATTAGACATTATCAAAATTTAATAGTACATGCAAAAATTCTGATTCCAAATTATTTGTCAATATAAATTTGTCGAAGGATGTCTAAAAGGTTTCTGTTTTATTACTTATGATAAACATTTATCGACATGAGTATTAATATAATTTTATTAGAAATCTTATAAATAATGGTGTACTATATTATTAACACGTTGACTGCCAACTACGAGATTTAAATCTTTTTCAGGACGCTAACTACGAGTTATCTCGCACAAATAAAATAATATTTTATTGACCGTGATTAAATCGAATTGGTATTTTAGACAGACTTTTTAAAATTGCTGCAGCAGTCAATGGATAAAAATTACTTATCATTTATTTCTGCACTATTGAAAATATTTTAAATAATCATATTGTAACTTACAATTGCTTACTAACTCATAATATACATTTCACTATACTTATTTAAATATTGATATATGACTTACAATTTGTAAGTGTAATATCAATATTTAAATAAGTTTAGTGAAATGGATATTATCAGTCTGTATACACAATGTTTTCATATCTTTGAAGAATTTATCGCAAGCATTTTCGCTCATATCTCACTAAGTAATATGATAGAATGTCGATCCCAGACATAATAATTAGTTAGACGTTGGATAGTTTCTTTTTTCTTGCTTTATATCTAAAAAACATCCTTGATATTTTTATCCTTATAGATGTATGCGTGGCCCCTATGTTTGCCCTTGCTAAACGTTATCTGAGCACATTCCTTTACACAAACTTTTTTTTTAAACGTTTAGATTTCGAGACCTTTCTTGTATGTGAAATAAAAAAACAGATTTTTGAAGGTCACCGAAACGAACTATTCCACATTCCTATCCACAAACTTTTTTTTTTAAATGTATAGATTTCGAGACTGTTTTTGTATGTGAAATAAAAAACAGATTTTTGAAAGCATTATTCACAAGCAAATGAAAAACTAAAATAACTTTCGAAGTTAGAAAATGATGTCCAATATTTATGGACATAGTTTATGGATGTTTATTTAATAAAATATGACTGGTCAAATTTATCTACGAACTTATACATTTTCTAGCGCTTATTTAAAGAAAACACTAGAATTTATTTTATAGATTTCGAGTCCAGCTTATTAGAATACATACATTATTCGTACTCTAATTGTAAGTGAAAATTATCCCCTGATCATGCAAAAGTAAACTAGTGGTGCATTAGAGCAAATTGCTGTATCTTTCCTTACCGTATTTTTTTTTTTGCATAGTTTTATTGCCAATCAAAATAATATACATTTTTTAAGACAATATGCTGGGTGTAAGTAAATGCATTTAAGAGATTATCTCCTATGGGATATCTCTCTTTTTTAATTTTTTGACAACAGTAATTTAAATTTTTTAAGAAATTTAAATTTTAAAATATTAGATTTTTGACAATTTCGGAACATTTGAAAATAAGACATTTTTTACACTTTTTGCTTCATATCTTTGAAACGGCTGGACCTACCTTTGCCAAAATCTAATCAGCAGGTCTCCGCATCAATAGGAATCGAATGGTTTTTGAATTATTCTAATCGGTTGATCTGTTTTACCGAAATCGTGGACTAAAATTGGTATCCGAACAAACATACATGCATACTACGCACATTCATACACACACGATACATCCATATTTTCTAAGGTATGCCAAAATATTCAGAAGACCTTGAAACGTAAAGATATTCAAAAAAAATATTTTCTTTTTTTGCAATTACTGTAACGTTCCCTATCGGAAGTTAGAAAAACAAATATTAATTTTATGGTATATATGTTGACATTTGATTTACGAGCTTCTTATCTCATTCCTTTTGCTAGACTCTTGAAACTTATAACACACAGGTATTTATGTACACAAACATTCATACCCCCTCTGCAAAGAGCCTTGAATTGATCATAAAAGGGCCTGGTTCAATTTGATCACTATGCTTAAAGTTGCTAAAGTTTTCTACATGATAAACATGGACATAAAGTCATCTTTTTCTTTTAAATAATAGAAAACACAGAATATAATATACCCATTATTTTATAAAATCAATACATTCATTTTATATGAGTCGCAAATGATTGGTTAAAGTTATAATATAAAAGAAAGTACAAAAAACTGATCATTTACTTTTTTTCAGAAAGACGCGTCAGGAGTTTTTGGCCAGACGACAATAGCAGAGAAAAAAGATCAGCAAAAGAACATGACCACATGGATTTTCCATCTGCTGAAGGAGCCCTCATCACAATTGCCTTCTTGACATTCTCTTTATTCTTGACCAAACTGGTTCTGGTAGGTTAACATATATTTAAATAAATTTATAGAGCTTTTTTAATAGATTTTTTTTTTTAATTTCTAACCTAGTAATTAGTGAAAATGTAATAACATATCATACAATTTGATAATTTTGAATATTCTGACCCTAGTTTGAATAAATCTACAAAATTTTCGCTTTTTGTGTTTTGATTTGTTATAATTTGGAAAAATATAATTATATATTAAATATACAATACATATACATACTTAACTACATGTGTTGTGTGTTTCTGGTTTAATTTCCTTTTGATTTTTGATTTTGATAGATTTATAATGTTATTTCTTTACTTATGGTTTTATTCTTTTCAAGCAGTTACTTCATCATTCTTTTGTATTAACTTTTATTTTATTTCAACATTAATTACTTTTAGTTTTCATTAATCTTATTTTTACACATGACGTTGGTGCTGTATTCGGAATAAAATTCGTATTTATAATTTGTGTAATTTTTCTATTTTTTTCAGCAAGTGATAAATGTGCTAAAAGCAAAAGCTTATAACACTAATCCTGGTTCAACATTTCAAATGGGGTTTATAACAGCTAACAGAATTAAGGAAGGAAAAAATGCAAGAAAATTGTCATTTTCCGATATGCACAAATATGAACATTTGCTCAGGTCAATATCAGCACCATGATTTTAACATTACTTCAGAATAACATATAATAACAGGTCAGTGAGAATATTTTATTTTGTAATATCTAATAATATTTTGATATTTTGTGATCTAAATAACTGATCAAGTGATCTGCTTTTTAATTAAAAAATGTAACTAATAATTTAGCAATTAATATTGTTATTATCAATAATGTTTTACAACGATTATTATCAATTTTTAAATATTATACTGCAAAATAACTGACTGCATAAAAAGTTTTTTTGAACATTAAGAAAAGTGCGATTTCATTCCACGACTTATAACTGTTTAGTCTTAAACCAAAATATAACTAAAAATTAATGCTCATTTATCTTTTAAAAATAGTTAATGAATATCTGAATTCATTATAATATAAATGTTGAAATTTATTAGTAATATTTTGATGTTCTGAATACCGTGTTTGAATTTTCAGAAAATTGGCAGAAAATTGACACCCACGTCTTGGTCACTATTTACTATCATACAATTAATTAAATTTTAATCATTAAACTCTGTTAATAACAATGTAGCCGATATACATATAAAACAAATATAAAATATTAAATTAAAATATTGCTTTAAATATTTATTATTTCAACTTTAAATATACATATATACTCATCAAATTCGTAATTAAAATAAAATATTTTTTATAAATATGTAGTACGTTAGATTTATTGTATAAAAATCTTACTATGAATGCTGTCATAGAATTATTCTATGTAAGAATAATTTATTTAGTTTCTGAAAATATGCATTATCTTTCTATCATCTAAAAATATTTATTAGTATCTCATTTGTTGAATATTATGAATAATACATTTAAGGTAATAATTTAAAATTATATTTACATTTTATTATATTATTTTATGTCGATAAATCTTCAAATATGATTTAGCGCAAAATGACAAAAATACTCATTCTATAATTTTTTATGTTTCACATCCATTAATAATTAATATAAAGCTAACTTATTTTTTACTTAATTTGATTCTTACAAAATTAATTCTTACTTCTATTATTCACAAAAAGGTTTCTTCTTGATTGGGCACATCGCTATTTCTTGGGGTCTGGTCCGAGGGCTTTTGTATAAGTGGTAAAGGTTGACCATTAGAGTTGTTGAGAGTTTGCAAAGAGAAGGTTGTTCGACTTCTGTTATTCTTCTGATAGAGTCCATGTCTGAAAAAATAAAAGAGAAAACCTGTTAAAAATATAAATAATCTAACGCCATCACCTTGATTCTTACAACTTTGCTATCGGGTGAAAAACAGCAATGTATGAAAATCCACAATAATATTATTTTTTTTTGTGGTTAGATTTTGTGGTCGTGGAGCACTGTTGTTTAGTTTACGAAATCTTAATATGATTTTTAATTATACGTTATTTAATTGTTTTATCAACAATGCGTCTAGTATTGTTAATTTTAAGTTAGAACCAACAGTATTTTATGTGTAACCTCTATAAAAGCTTACACATGGATGGGGTAAAAAGGACGAACTAAACCTTCAACTTGGCAAAGGTGTGAAAAATAAAGAAAAGCAAATAAAAAAGTAAATTAAGTAAAAAAAGCAATTTTGCAAGAGATAAATTAATTAAATAATTATTCCAACTCTGCTGGGGAATGTTTCCGACGAAATACAAGATCAAGGTTACAGTGTTATTTCTGTAAAAAATGCAACCGTAAAATTTTTATTTTGTATTCGCTGAATAATGTAGCTATTATTTTTCAAAGTCCTTTAAAATTAAAATTTGTCATTGGACCTGTTTCCGAATTCACCCCGCCTATGGGGTAAAAAGACCAGGTGATAATTTTTTAAGGACAGTATAAAAAAACATTTTTAGAATTATGTATTAGCTGAAAATTTTACTGAACATAGTCAGATAGTTGTTAGTTTGATATGTGGTATTTGTTGTGTTGTAATTGGTTTGGTTTTCACAAGTAGTCAAATTGGACCTTTGTGCTCCGGCCATATCCTATATATTTTTTTATTACTTCGCAATTAAATATTAATATTTGCTATAGATTATTAAAAACTATACCAGCCTTAAATTCGTAACAGATTATAACTTGAAGTAAATTTCATGAATGTTTTTACCTAGTTTTTATTGATAATAGGCATAATCGTCATCCGAATTAACAACTTAAGATATTTTTTTAATAAATTTAAAGAAGTGTTAAAATCTTTGAAGTGACATTCCAATAATTGCTTAGTATTGGTAATAGAAAAATCAATTGTTTAAGAATACATAAATCACCTAAATTCCAAATAATTTTTGCAACAATGTAACTATAAAATTACATTAATTCTAAGTGTACTATCTTAGATATGCAAGAATAGTGCACTTAATTATCTTATGGGTAGGGTAAATTATAGCAAATAAAAAAAAAAACAAAAATAAAAATTTATATATTTCTTTACGTTTCAAAGGTTTCTGCAATTTTGGCATACCTTAGATTAAATTGATGTGTGTGTATGTATGTATGTGCGGATACAATTTTTCGTCGACGATTTCGAGATCAGGGATCATATCAACCGATTGGAATTATTGAAAGCATATTCGATTCTTATTGATAAGGAGACGTGCTGATTAGTAATATTTTACTTGTATTGACGAAATGAACAACTGGTTAAATTTTTGAGAAGGCTGGTCTAGCGTTTTCGGAGGTCCAATGAAAGAAGTAAAAAACATGCCATCTGGCGGTCAAAAAAAAATTACACATATACGCATCAAATTATCAGATATTATATTATCAGGGGCAAATTTTGTTTTCATTTCTATAGGTTCCATACCAATTTTTAACCGTTAGAGTGCGACGCGGCGCACACGCGCTTCGATATTTCGTCTCTACTCAGCTAATGCAGCTCGATTACTTCGAAAAAAGTTCAAACTTTTCAAAACTTATGAAAAAACATATTTTAAAAAGTCAAATTTTCTCAAAAACTTAGTTCTCGAAAATGTATTTTTTCAGTTTTTTTAAAAAAATAAAGTTTTTTTAAAAAAAAATTTTTTGGTACGGGAAGTTCCCACAATTTGCCCGATGCCATGCGCTACTAAGTTTATGCATATAGATAGTGTATCTAGCTAGGTATATAAAATAAATGCACTAACCTTGCTTATTTTATTTCAATACTATTAAAATTGATCGACAAAGTTGTAGTTAAGTTACTGCTATAAACAATTTTATTAAATTTTTAGTCTTAAGGAATATATTTGTATCATATCAGTTGGTTGAGCAATTGATGCGCTTGGGATTTAATTGGAACTGTCTATTTATCTATTACAAGAACCAACAATATCTCATTTATACATGAGTTTATAAAATAATATTACACGCACGAGTCGTAAATAAAAATCTTTCAATGAAGCAAAATCAGGTGCATAATAATGATTAATTATCTCTAACCTGATTAACATCAATGTTACGTCTCGCCTGTACTGTTTTGTTAGAATGGCGTACAGGAACGGATTGGCGCAAGAATTCAACGGGTAGAAAAACACTAGCAATATTTTCGAATGCGATACGTCTATCAGGGGCTTTCCTGCTATGGCAGTGATGGCAAAGAATGCGATCGGGGCCCAGCACACGAAATAAATAAAAACCTGAAAAAATAAAGTATATTTAATAATTAGTAATATTAAAGCATTTTTAGAAATGAATCGAAGAGAGCATTTTTAGAATTGGAATATATTATGTTGAAAGTTATATTCTCATTCAATTCATATTTTAACTTTCAAATAGTTTAAGGATTATATTCCAATATATTCATTAAATTTTAGACGAAAAACTTTTACTGTTTAAAAGTTTTAAAATTATGCATTTACAGCTAACAATATTTGTGCCACAAACTTTACAATGACCTCATAAATATTATTAAATTAAAATGTATAATTTAATCATTACTAATTATTGTCTAAATATAAAATCGGTTGAGATTTAAAAAATACATACATTACAAAATAAATAATCCAAATTTTGAACCACTTCGACCTTCAAGCATAAGTCAATCTAATTTACGATTCAAGATAATTGAACAATTTAAAGCAACTGCAGACAAATACAATTTAATTTAAATTGTTTGTGTTTTATCAATTGAGATATTTTATTAAAATATTGTTTTGCTTTGGGTGAATATTTTTGGTAAAATATTTTGATTTTTTTACTTTTAATATATTAGGTTGTCAAATATCTCCCTTCCGCTTTTTTGCTCTTGGTTTATAATACAAAAAGGCGGAAGGGAGATATTTAACAACCTTATAATAATGATAATAAAAGTTACATACTTTGTGCAGATCTAAATTGAAAATACAGTCAAGTAACAATTTTATATAATTTATATCTTTTAAATATAAAGAAAAATTTAATTATACTTTCTAATTACTCATATTTTACTTACTTGTACCTATTTTTTATACTTTATCATGTTTACACAAAAAGATTATGGAAGAAGGATTATATTTAGAGCATGTAATGGCAATGATTTCATAAACATACTTTTGATCATATAGTTTTTATTACTTTTCAGAATATTTCAATTCTTTTAATTATTTTTGAAATGTGTAATAACAAGTTGAAAATAGCATTTTGTCTTAAGGCAAGTTTTACAAACTTCCCGATACCTATACATAATCAGTTTAATCAATAAGAATTGAGATTCAGCTACTTTGGTAATATGTTCAACTGTTTATTTATAAAATAAACTCAAAGTTCACTAAAGTATAATCAATATGATTTTCAATTGATTTTTTCAAACATATTTATAGCATCTGTAATTCTATAAATTAAATCCTTTACCAAGAAACGGTCTTGCAGATCTTTACGAAAGACCATCAGCATGACTCCCAGCCAATATTTTTCGACTTATCTAAATTTTTAATATCTATTCAGGATTATGGTCTAAAACGTATAACGTATAACGTAAAAATTGTTAAAATACAAATACATGTGATATCTTACTCTACCCCTCTCTCCCCCACGTGATATTTTGTGATCTTTTGTAAAACCCCCCTCCCCTTAAAAACCTCAAATGATTAATGAACGTCCCCTTTAATTTTGAGGAAGAGAAATGTGAGAAATGGCAATAAAAATCTAGACAATAATGGCAATAAAAAATTTAGACTTTTGTACTATTTATGAGAGAAAGGTTCGGCCGATCGTAGCGCAAACCCAACCAACCCTGAACCTCATCGAGTTTCATCGAATGGCATCGAAAGTTTTAGAAATTGGCTTAGACTTTTATGAAGAAACGTCGACGAAAGGCCAAAAGTCGGCTCACATACATCACACCCATACTTTTTCTAAATTTGGTCTCATTCGATTCAGAACGACTTGAAACGTCGAGCAAACATGAAATTAGCAAGTCTTCTTCGCCTTCGGGAAAGTACAAAATTATAAAGACGCCCATCATTAGCCATACTATTGATGTTTAATTTATAATGTCTTACCAGAAGTGCTATCTTTTTCGCAACGTGCATTTCGCTCCTGACTCCGTTTTCACCTCCTCCTAGTGACGAATAGATTTGTATGTAGCACAGGGCAACCAGCACGAAGGCCAGGCCGTTCACGACCAGCAGAACTACGATATAGGCCATATCAGCGTTGTCCTCCGTGGACATAGGAAGGCATATGCTTAAAAGAATAATTTTAGTGGATTAATTTTGTTCCTAATAATATTATTTCTATGAGACAATAGAAATTTCTAATAATTGTAATGAGTTCTAATTGGCGTTTTAGCACTTTACACACATTTATTTGCCATCTCGATTGTTGTGTCTGGTTTGTTATTTTTTACTACGAACGAAATATATAATAATGGATAGTACTACCCTAAGGCATGTCCGTGAGCTGAGTTAAGCTCCAACTAGATTCATGAAAGAAATAGTGTGAGAGATTTCCCATTTCCATTTCACACCACAGTGCCCGAAATGGGCTAGTGAAAGTGGTCATAGAAATGAAGGAAAGAAAGAAGCATAAATAAAGTGAAAATTGTATATTACTGTAAATGAAATGAAACGATTAAATTCTAATTAAATGGCAATTAAACGTGATTCATACTCTTGAGGTAAGTTATATGAACTTTACAATATAAAGTTCAACTTCGGCTTCGGCTTTCGGTGTCATACTATTTAAAATCACCTAATACGTCAAGTGAACATAAAATTACTAAATTCTGAGTTTAACATATATAATGTCAAAAGTAGCAGTAAATAACCACAATCATAGATTCAGTTATTGTTATTATTACGGTTATTATTAAAACCTTGATAAGAAAATGGGTTGTAAGATTTTAACATTCGTATTGGGTTCATCGCTGCATCAATATTTTTAAACTATATAACTGTACTATTTTTGTGAGTACAGAAACATTTACCCCTATGAGCTACTATGACTAAATTAATATACTGTACCTAGTGGATGAATAGTTGTTTATCCCAAAAAGAGGTAAAATTGCTGCTGATAAAGAATATAACCAACCACAAGCCATTGCGCGATAGGCCATCCTACTATCCAAACGCCTTTCCAAATATATGGCCCTGGTTATGGCCATCCATCGTTCCACCGTTAATACTGATAGAGAAAAAATTGACAATTGAGCAGCAAATACTGTTAGAAAACCTGCCACTTTGCAACCGGCACCTATGATAAAATGAAATGTAATAAATACATTAGTATTTGGCGTTGAAACAAACAAATTTTTAACTAGGCTGAAAATTACATAACAATCAGAAGAAGATATTTTGGCCATATTCAGAACAGGTTTGCAAATTCTATCATCAAAACAAGACCTATTTTCAATGATAGATTGAATAAGTAATAAGTGATGAGAAAATCATTATAAAAACAAATCTCATTGAGTAATCGAAAGAAAAGTTTTTAAGTTTTGATCAAAGATCCAATTTAATAATTTCATATTTTTTTCATGTTATGTTGATTAGTTTTTAGTTCGGAAAATGATCCTAGACGACTGTACGGCATTGAATCACTTTAGCATAATTCAATATTAACCAACCCTTATATAACTTATAATCAATTTATACTTGCCAGTATTTTATTTACTGACCATACTGCCAGTCGCTGGCATAATTAAAAAATTCTCCCATCGAATGGGCATCAATACAAGCTAAGAGTAGAAGGTATAATCCCATGCAGAGGTCAGCAAGTGCAAGATGAACCATCAAAAATCTGGAGACAGATTGTTCACCACCACTGCAGAGCGACACCACCAAAACTGAGATATTACCCAAAATCGTAATAAACTATAAAATATTAAGAATATTAATATTAGACAATAAATTATTTTGGTGAAACTACTCTAATAGCTGGTGACAAGCATTTTAATAGATTATGATTATGACAGAAATAGAAAATCTTAAATTAGAGGTAAGAGAATTCTTTAGGAACAAATTTATTGCACTGACAAAAAAAATTGCATGGAATTCAATAAGAAAAATGGCGTGAATAATCAACAAATCATAAGTTTTAAATATTAAAAAAAAAATTAAAATCATGTTTTTCAATTCACTTATAAAATTACTATTAATTTTGAAAAATTCTTCATGAGATATTTTTATACTGACCAACACTAACCAAACACTGATTCTAAGCCATGAAGATCCCATTACATCTTCGCAAGGATTTAATGCATCAGCCTTAGGCTTACACCTTACTGGTGGTGATCTAAAATTATTTTTATTATTTTTAAAGACGTTGGGAAATCTTGCTTAAAATATATTGATCAAGATAATATTGTAACAATTATGCTTGTATTACATATGTGGAGCTCTTCTACGAGTTTGGAAATTTTGATGGAGTTTTTTCACAGTCGTTATATAAACTAAAATAATAATGTCAGAAAGATTACAAAAATATTTTATTTAATAATTAAGTTTTTTTCAAAGTGATGATATTTATTTTTACTAATAGTAGTAAACCTATATTCCTAATAGACTGTAATGCTTCTAATCATTAGGAGTCCTAATAGTGAAAATTGGTGGTTTTTAATTGATATAAATATCATGTACCCATTTGAATAGTTTTAGTCTATTTAATTACGAAATATATTATTTCCTTACGATTCTGTTAAGTTTCCACAAATAGCAGTAAGGCCGACAACTCCGATTTCTGTGGTCATTTCGTGAAAAACTCCAAAATCCATTCCAGAATCAGCACCATTCTCTGATGAAGATGACTCCGACGACCACACATTAACGGACTCACCGGATTTTTCGGGTATCACGAAATCGTTGTTTGTTTTATAGAAACCATTTTTGTCATTTTCGTTTTCGTTAATATGATTTTGGTTATGCGAAAACTGTCTGAAATTGAATACACTTTTTATTTGGAATGTAATAATATTTAATAGAAAAGGCATATACTTATTATTAGAGTTTCTACAAAATACTTCTTGAAATGAGTTTTCTCTAATGATTTGCTTTTTATTTTATATTTCAATTAACAGTGAAAGTAAAAGTTCAATTCTTGGCAAGTTCAAAACCCAGAATTGTTAATATTATAAATTCTCTTTAAAGATAATATTATAATTTTTCTTTGGAAGAACATTGCTTGGTCAAACACTTTTGCATATATTTGGAACATGGTACATGATTTGGACGATGTTTCAAAACACAAACATTAATTGACAAATTCATGTTTTAAATTTGTGTGAAAGCTACTGTGATCTTGGCTTTATCAAATTTGTTTGTTCTATCTCAGCCAGTAAAAAGTCTTTTTATAGAAATTAGTGGTCAAAATATAATGATACGATATAGTTTCACATTTTTGTTAATTCTTCGCTCAGGAGTGCAAGATACAAATGCTGATATATTAAAATTTATCGTTTTATCATATGGCTAATGTGTGAGAGAAGGAGCAATAAACCATATAATTAACCTTACCCGGCAAAATGATGGTTTATATTTTTGGCCCCCGAAACAACGTGATCTTTCCCAGCTTGCTCCGGGTCAAAATGTATAACTGTTCGCTTTTGCCTTCGTCCGATAGCATTCCAAAGTTCAAAATCGCTTATTGTAGAAGCATCTAAATTAGTTTCATTTCCTTCTGTAAGTGCTCGTCCTTCGGCACTGTCACAAAATCTGGTAGTGCAAAAATATTGGTAATAATTATAATATAATATTAATAATAACTATAATAATTATAATATATATAGTTGATGGATAATGGGTCGTATTAGTTACGTTTCATCATTTTGAGCAAAATATTTGAATAAAATTTACATGTTCCTAATTCTTAGCAAATGTTTGCAGAATAATTACACTATTCATTGTTTAAAATTATTCATGCTTTCTTCGATTTGTAATCTGAGATATAGAAGCATGCAAAAATTTTTTTATAGATAGTATGTAATACGCAAAATAGAAAAAAGGAATACATATTACTCATGCCATGGATTTATTTACCGTTGCGTTATTTTATGTCTCGAGATCAATACACATTTTTTCTAGGAACTATTTGTTATACTTATGCTTAAAGTATTTGGGTTATCGAATTTTTTTATTATTATTTCAACAGCAATCAGAACTCTTACTTTACATGTTCTATAAGCTGTTTGTTGAAGACTTATGGCCTAACGTATTTTATGAGAGGCAACCCATCGGCTTACCATTCTCCTATGTGTGGAGTTTATATTAGCTCTTATAGTTATCATATGACTGAATGATGCAGCTGTGTCCACAAAAGACGATTTCCACTTAAAATTATATTGCGATCTATAACCCCAAGTGGAAAATTGACTGAATTGAATTGAATCAAAGCTGCCTGATGTCAGGTTTTGGCGGTAGCTGGAATCGAACCAGCGAACCCGGTACTAGCTGGTGCTAGCTCACGTTCGAACCGATTTCGCCACGACGGGTCCAGGGTTATTGAATTTGAAGTAAAAAAATTTTTATTAATAAATCTTACCTTCGGGCCCGTTCTATATAAGCAACTCTCTGAGCATAAAGAATCGGATCATGTCTTGCTGGATATTGAAAAGCACAGCAGTGAAATGCATATGTTAAATGCGCTTGTCTCAAGCTCTGAAATAGAAAATATATGTCATATTATATTTGAAAGCTTAGATAATATTATCACTAGGTTTTATTAGTTTGCCTACTCAGAATCTGTATTAGTTAAGATTGTTTCTATCCAAAATATTCAATTCAGACCAGTTTATTTATTTTACACCTGTACATCGATTACTTCTAGTGTTCAGCATTTACAATGATTAGGATTCTGAATTGCACTTTTGTGTGCATTCAAATCTAGAGTTTTTTTTAATCTCAATAAAGTGTTCTATAATCTATTATGTACATCACTTATTTCTAGGTTTATTATTTTACGAATGCTATTCCTTAATATATTTGGATCTTTATTTTCAAGCAAAAATAGTGCAGGATTTGAATACGGAACCTTGTGGTTTCAAGTCTAAAGCTCTTGAGAAAATATATGATTTTAATCATTTTAATCTACATTTTTTGAATTTTAAGGCAACCGATAAAAAGATTTTATAATAACTAAACTATAACTGAAACTAATTTTTCTTTGTGCTTAATTATTTATCGATTTACTTTTCATTCAAGCTTCACACTTGTGTCATAAATTATTATTATAGACTGACTTATAATTATATGACACCAAAACATTGAAAAAGAAAGTCGAAAAATATTTACTTTAGAAGTATTAGGAATTTACAGAAAGACGAAATGAAAAAGGTTACAGAGAGACGAGATGAATTGTGATTTATTTCTCACTATAATATTTTCAATTTCCAATAAATAAAGTTATATTCTAAGAAATTATCTAATGTTATAAATGTATTATTAATTTATTCATTTTGTATATAATTGGCACTAAGATTTTGATTACCTTTAAATGATAAATGCTAGGAATAACTTTAAGTGTTGGCGTATTTTCTATTCTAAGGATTTCTAATCCTTCCAAGCCTTCTGGAGGTAGTGCTTCCAAGGAAGTATATGATAAATCTCTACAAATATATTATACTCTGAATTAAATATTATTTCAAGTTTTTTTTTTAATGTTTTTATTTTATCTACTTACAATTCTCTTATTTGCATTATTCCACTAAAAGTCTTAGGTTGTAGTTGACGGATCTCTTTGTTTCCTTTGAAGCTCCTTAAACATAACAATTGTCACTAATTTACAAGATACGTAATGCATAATTTATACAGTAAAAAAATTACTTTGTAATTTACATACAGTTTTCCTATTTGTGACCCTGAAAATGCATGATCTCCCACCCAATTTATTGGATTATGATCTAGTATCCTGAGAATGACAAATTATATTTTTAAGGGTATTATTATTTTTATTTTTATATTATGTAAATATATACTGACAATTGTTCTGCAATAACTCGAAAAGCTTCATTTTCAATTCGTCTTATTCTATTTCCTTCAAAATCTCTGCAACATAAATCTTTACTTTAATTTTTAAAATTAAAAATATATACACATTCATTTCTTGCTTTCAGAATATATAAATTCAGTTGTGAAAAGCAATTTACGTTATAGTGCACAAATTTTATTACTTAATGTTGACAAGTTGTAACAAATTTAGTAGTTAGAGTACACAAAATTGTACACAAAACAAATTATCTCTCTGAAGTAATTTACAATTGTATATTAGTACTTAATTGAAAACACTACGTGTTATTAAGGATTACTTGAAGGATTTTTCCATATAAAGATGTGTTAAAATTTTAGAATAAATTTTTATCAGCTTTCTTTTTATTTCAACAACTTATACTGCGTCAAATTAATAATGTTTGGCTTATAGAGAGAGTATGATGCACTATGAGATTATGGGCAGCGTGTGTTGTTTAATGATATTCTACTTTTTATTTTTTTAGTTTGAAGAAAAATTGGAAACTTAACTTCAATCAATTTTGAAATAAGCAAATAATAAAAATGACTCATTTCCATACATGATATGCAATATATTGCCTCCGTGCATCAAATTCATATCTGGAATGTGATCAAGTCCAGTGTACATGATACGCCTAAGAATTAGAAAATAACATAATATAAATTATATTATTTTTAATAGTAATTAAATTTTTTAAGTTTTATTAAGATTTTATTACTCACAGAGATTTTAAGGTATGCGAGACTCCTTGAAACACATGCCTTGATATATTATGTAACTCAGGAGCATGAGAAATGTATCTGTAAGAAACATCAATTTTGCATTCTGCGAAATAGAAGAAATTAATATGTACGATTAAATTTTTCAGTTATACATACATTGTTCTTAACAAAGCGATATTACTGAACGCTCCTGCTTCAATTTCTTCAAAATATGGCATGTCTGTTATGATTCTATAAAAAATAGTATATTTACCAAATTAAATATCCAATGTTATCTACTGAAAATTTTTAAAAGTGTATTCAAGTATTTATTAAATAATACATCGAGGATATTTTAATATGTATAACTCACTCCCTACAATTAATCCAGCGATCTAAGCATTTTTAAATTTGTATATATAAATCGTTTATATAATTGCTAAAATTATAACTATAAAATTATAATAACTAACTAACCTTGAAGGCACTAACTGTAACTAAATTGGAAATATTTAGGTATAGAAACTATATTATAAACTATACATATTGTTTATTGTGAATTACTTGAATCAAGTTTTTGAAGCTATATTCTACTGTTCTCTAGAGCTAGAATGAGAAAATATTAATGAAGGAAATTTCAACCCCACATCTTTGACTAATAAGAGGTATTGACGTAAGTTTAAGTTTTTGGATTCAGCAGCATCAAACGATATATTTTTGGCTTATTAGAATTTTAAACATAAAAATATTTTGATAGAAAAAAACTAAACAAAACAACGATATTATATATAAAAATAATATGCATATATATATATATATAATTTGTTTTGTTGCGATATTTGTTATAAATATTTATGTCGAGTTCATTTGGCGTTCTATTATGATCTAGGTTCTATAATACCTAGAATGGCGATTATTTCCTATAGCACTATATTTATATGTGCATTTATTATTGATCAATTTTTGAATAAAATATTTTAGTTATAAATGTTTTGATCATACATACATGTCCATAAGCGTAGCACTGTACGGCTGCAGACCTCTACGTCGTAGCATTTTCAAGCCGCAGTTGAATAATGTGAGTTTGTGTAAACCCGTGTGAAGCTTTTGTGGAACTCTATTCAATGACAAGCCTTCGCATCTATAAATATGATTTATATTCTAAAAAAATTAAATAACCATAAAAAGACGATTCAATATGATTTATGTACTTTTTCAACATAGATCTCGGTGAATTGTTTCGTTGGAGACATACTAGGGTGGGTTCACTATGGCTCGTAATATTATCTAATTTAACCGTCAATGTATTAGTATCAGCAAATTGATATAAAACTTGTCGATGTGATAATTTATACTTTAAGAAAACCTGCCAAAATCAATATTCAAGTATACAGTTAATGTCTATAGAATTATATTGTATGTTTTCGCATTTATTCATAACTTTTTTATTTATTAACTTTCCTCAGGGTAGGTTATAGTCATAGATAAACAAGTATAATGGTTATAGTAATCGCATAAAATCGAATCGTTTTAAAGCATTGTGGACATTTAGGCATACTTTAGACAAAATTGATGTATGTGTGTATGTATCATACAAATTGAATCCTCACTTTCATATATACTGTATATGTATGTGCGGATACAATACAATACAGTGGGTTTCGGATAAACCAATTTGAATGATTTAAAAAACTCGCGATTCCTATACCTGAGGTGGCGTGCCGAATAGTTTTTGGCAAAAGCAATGCACCACAAGTTTATTTATTTTTTATTCATTTATTTTATCACTTTATTCATTTATTTTATCACATAGCCAACAGAGTTGCTTCAGACTTAAAAATATACTAATGATAGACACTAAATATAAAACAGTATCTAATTACTAGTGTAAATTAAATATACCCATTGAAAATAACATAAAAGTTAAGAATTATAAAAATGAACTTGTACTGATGGCTATTTATTGCTTTAGTAAAAAATATTTGAGTTCGTGATGAGATTTTATGAATATTAAAGACTGCTGATTAAAGATTTGAGGACAATCAATATCATTGTTACAAATGTATAGGAACGAAATACTTTTAGAAATTATGTAATAAATTCATTCAGTAACAAATTATGGTCAAAACCACATTCAGGATAAGATTTGTGTGTTCTCAAATATAGATATTTGACAAATTATAGAATGAACTGTTTATTAAGAAGAAATATCTAAAGAAACGAACATAAAATAAATGGATAGAAATTCCAAATAATGCGTTTCGTGGACAGTGGACACGCTCGTATGTAAGTGGCTAGAAAGACTCGACCTGGATCAGGGGTACCGGGTTCGATTCCCCTTCGAAGAGCCTGTTGTCAAGCAGTAGTGGCAACGGTTTTCACTTGGAAATATAGATAACAATATGTTTCCAAGTGAAAAGTCGTCACTTTTACAATAATTGTAATAATAAAATTCATCACATAGAGATGAGACAACTGTTTGGCTTGCCATATATAATAAAAAACAAACGTAGTTTGTAAGAAATTTATCACAACAGCTCATAGGACCCATAAGTTCTGATCGCTGTTAAAATAAATAAATAAATAAAAATGTATAGCATCTATGTTAGCGTCTATCGAATGATTTTGTATATTTGTAAAATCAGTTCCAGAACTTTAGAAAAATGAAACTAAACATAGATACAAAGGACATAGTGTGAAGTCTCCTTAGTACGTACACATATACTTTTATTTGCTGAATTTGCCGCATTATTCAAAATTACAAAGAAACCATAATATAACTGATGCCGATTTTCGACGTTACCAATAATTTCTTCTATGCCAATGTTATAGATATAATAAAAATTTAAATATTCTGCAACAATCAAAACGAAGAGAAATATGTTTCCATTACCTGCAGTCTAAGATCTCCCCAGATTCGTCAGTAACATTCAGGCAGATGCACTGCCAATTATTCTGCTTGGCTTCTTGCACTGGTTGGCCGCACCCGTTCGGCGCGCACGTTGGGTTCACCAGAACTGCATTCGAATAACCCAGGAAGAGCATCATGACAACCGACGTCGTTATTAGAATTTTGATGTGACATATGTGATTGTAACATATCATTTTGTTATATAATCACTGGTTTGGAGTAATTGATTTTTATTCGCGTAAACACTTATTTATTGGCGGAATTACATTTTGTTATATGACCACTGTTATTTTTCTTAAAATTCGTTTTTATGTTACCGTCACATAACTTATTATATATAATAATTATATTATTTATAATTTGGATTATATTATATAAAAGTTGAATTTTTGAGCTAACATAATAATTATTAATAATTTGCAATTTTCAAATATTTATAAAAAATTTATTTTCATTTTAATATACATAATAAGTTAAAATTGTGAATAATCTTAATAATGTAATTTAGAACTCACATAATTTAATTTTAAAAATACTTTTTAGTTGTTTAGTTTAGTTTACTGGAAAATTTTTAGATTAGTTGAGATAAGTTTAAGTAACATCTACTGAAGGTTCAATACAAATATCTGCTTAAGAATACAAATTGAGACATGGGAGATAAATACTGTTTGATAAAATAATATAGCTTTATTTTATATTAAAATCATTATTAGTGTTTGGTGATTGAATATTATGGGGTAATCATAACTTCAGTATTGGAAATTATAGCCAGTAATAAAATCTTAGTAACACAAATTTTTACTACGATTTTATTATTGTCCCATATTTATTTGAAAATTTGGAATAAAAATAATGATTTTGGTAATAATTCGCGTTTAAGAACAATGCAATATATTTATTATATATATGTTAATTGTGTTTTGTAGAAGATTTATTTAAAATCGCAATTATGCCAAAATTGTTTCAATGAAAGTATAGAAAAAAACTTGAATCATTTTGTTTGAATACTTGATTCGAAATTAGTAATATAGAGAAAATAAGTCTGGGGATAAATAAATTGCAATATGTTATCATATATGTTAATTTGCGATCTTTAATGAAAAGAAAGTTGGATATTTTTCAATAATTGCAAATTTTGTAATTACTTAAGTTTGTTATTGTTTACGCACTTCCTATATAACTTACTCGTACTTTAATTCACTTATATAATTCTATTTTATATTTATAGAATATTAGTACTGTCTGATGATTGAAAAATATTGATAATTAGCCAATAATAAAAGCTTAGTAAAACATTTTTTTACTGTGTTTTTATTATGGATTCAAATTTATTTGGAAATTCAGAATAAAAATCATATTTTTCAATAATTCGATATTAACCACTGATTGGATTTCTATTGTGAAGGGAGGTAAAAAAATAAGCAGTTTTTTTTGTTTTTAATTGACATTAATATTGTAGAAATAAATAATGCAATGTATGTTAATCATGTATAGTGCAAAAATCTAGAATTGCAATTATGCCAAAGTTGTTTTAATAGGACAGAAAAAACTTGAATCATTTTGTTTGAATGCTTGATTCGATATTATTAATATAGAGAATACTATTATATTTTGATAAAGTTTGCAAAAGACTGGGGATGAATAAATTGCAATATGTTACCATATTTGTTAATTTGTGGTTCTTTGATGAAAAAAATGTGAGTTAGTTCAGTGTTTCAATAATTGCAAATTTCGTATTGATTTATATTTGTTATAGTTCACTTACTTTTTTATAATTTATTTTAATTCACCTTTCTTTTATATTTACAGCATGTTATTAGTACTGTTTGAAAATTGAAAAGTCTTAGGTAACCATTAACTTTGACATTGGTAATTAGCTTAGTAATACAAATTTTTGCAACGATTTATTACTGTCTTATTTTTATTTGAAAATTTAGAAAAACAATAACAATTTGAATTTATTAACATTACATTATATGTTAATCATGTAATTAGTAAAATTTATCCAGAATTACAATTATGCCAAAGTTGTTCCAAAGAAAAAACTTGAATCAGTAGATTTTGTTTAAATGTCTGATTCAAAATTGTTTGTTTAGTAAATACTGTTATATTTGGATAAAATTTGGAGAATAAGATTGGGGATGAATAAGTTACAATATGTTACCATTTGCGGTTCTTTGGTCTGAAGAATGCCGGATTCTTTTCAATAATTGCAAGGTTTATTGTAATGATTTTAGATTTTATATATGTAATTTTGCACTTACTTTTATAAGTTATTTTAATCCATCAAATCCATTTTTAGTTGTTAATGTGGAATTTAACAATGTTTTATTTTACCATTTTAGAGCAAGATTTTGAAGCAAATTTATTTATCAAATGATTAAATTTAGGAAATAAGTTATAAACGTTGCTTCTAAATTTTGCAATGAAGTTTTTGTTTGTTTAATTATAACACTATATAAGCTCTAATATTATTATTAAAAATCCACACTACTAGTTAGAAGTGATTAACATTTAAACAATATATTTCAGCACACAGGTAAAGAGTTTTGCATGGTAAATTAATGCCGCATAAATTATCTTGAAATTCAAATGATGTGATAATAGTGTTTCGTTTTGAAATGTCAGCTTCCCGTACAACAGCAATTACTTGGAACCAATTTACACCTATCACGTGCTCCCGTCCACACAATATGCGGACGCTCCAGTCTATTTGTTTATGAATAAACTAAATTCACAAGGAACAACTTTTAATTTTTTACTCATATTTATATTCCATATATCATTTACTAGTGAACCTAACGATTCGCGAATTGTGACTGAGTTTTGTGCCGAAAAATGTGATCTCGAAACTGGTTGCCTCTTCAGTTTGAATAATTGTTGTAATTACTTACTAATATAATGTACACTTTATGCATTTAACATGAGTTTGTCTTCGGAACTGTGTTGGTATAAATATCTATTTGTGTGGGTGTTAGCCAGGAAAACGTTTTAAAACTTTCAGTTAGACACGTCAAATAGAGCAGTAAAGAAATCAACAAATTATTGCCAATTATTGATATAGTACAGCTCCAGCGATTGTGACGGACGAGAGGTAATTTTAGTATTGTTTTGTTCTATAAACTTTAAAGATTTATGGAAAATTGAAATTACTTTATTTTATTTATAAAGATGCTGCTTTTTAACATTTAAATTATTTTAAGGTATGAATTTTTGTTTATATTTCTTGATAATACATAAATGAATTTAAGGAACAAAAATTCAAACCATATAGATTTAGATTAGATAGATAATTTGAAACAATTACCATTACCACATATCAACTTTAAATTGAAATTGTTCGCCTTTCTAACATATAGTTTTCAATTTCAATATGTTAATAATATAAATTGTAATAAAAAGAACTGGTAAGGAGATATAATTTAAAAAATAGTTAATAAGTTGGTAACATTTGAATCATTTTACGGAATGAATTAGGATTGTATTTCTTGATAATATATAAATAAATTCAAGAATAAAAAATTCAAAACATATATAATGCCATTTGAAACAATTACCATTACCACTTACCAACTTAAAATGAAAATTGTTCGCCATTCTAACGTATGGCTTTAATTTCAATAATTTAAAAATAAACTTTAATGAAAAGAACTGGTAAGAAGATATAATTTAAAAAATAGGTAAAAAGTTGGTAGGTTAGGGCGGGCACTAAGTTTAATTTGACTTTCAGTAGTTATACTGTCTAAAACAACAAATGACACGTACTAAATAAACAGCTATCAATATCAAACTATGTTCAGCAAAAACCCCAGCTAATTTGCCATTGTAAAAATATCTTGTGTTATCTTTTTTTTATTTTTTCATCTGTTCCGTATTACCAAAAGAAAATACTTTTGTTATGAAATAGCCATTTGTTTCCTGATAACTACGCCGTAAGAATTAAAATAGTGGCTGGTTATACATTTTTTTCCTTTTATGTACTTTAAAATAGCTATCGTTAAGAGATTTTATGCTTTGCTGGTTTTTGAGATGATTGTGGTGGACCTTCTTAACCTCGGACCTTTAAACCCCTCGCTCTTCCCTTTATGTATGTCAAAATAAAGCAGCAAAATTATTTAAAACTACCGAAAGTCTGCTGACTTATCTAAATTGAAACTAGTTTTATTTAAGACAGATTAGAAATAAAGTTTAAATAGTTAAAAGTTAAAACATATATTCAGCATAGTTGTTAATTTGTGATTCATTTTGATTCCATCAATATTAATTTAAATTCAAAATTACAAACACATCAACCAAATGTGTGAAGTATGATATTTCCACAATTTTTTATGAGACGGTCTTTAATTTTAAGTTAATATAATTAAATTGAAACAGCGATTTTAGAGCAAACCAATTGTATCTTGACAATTAGGGCAAATAGAATACATATTTGCTTCATATAAAATAGTGTGCCTATACATTTTGTTTGAAACATACTAGGTAAATAAGTTTCCTTCGATAGTACTATATTTAAAAAATAAATTGTTGCTTCTATATTTTAAATTCAATATGCAAATATTATTATGTAGTTATATTATATAAAATATTATGTGTAAAATGGTTACTACAATGAAATTTCCCTCCTTTGAATATAATTTCAATTTTATAAATAATTCAGAAGAAAGTTATTCATTTTACTTATTTATTAGTAAATTATTTACTTCTCCTTAAGGCAATTTTCATTTTTTTTTTTTGTTAACGCGAAGAAACGACTCGGCCGATCTTACAACTAATCAACGCGGGTTATTATCGATTTTTATCAAATTTAAAATTCTGAAATCGTAGAAGCCCTTTTTGGAGAAAACTTTATACACACTCATATTTTTTTTCAAATTAGGTCTCAAGCAATTCAGAATGATTTAAAAGCAGACTAAGTCGAACAAAAACAATATCAGCAAAACAGATTTTCTAGCAAAAACTTAAACTTGCCTTGCCCATCGGTTTAATCAAAAATCAAGATGAAGATATTTTAATATATATATTATAAACATTTATATATATATATATGTATATTGATAATATACATTTCATTAGATAACATTATTCATCAAATAATATAATTGAATTAAGTGATCGATCCAATGCAATTATATAA